ACACACACACACACACACACACACACACACACACACACACACACACACACAAGCTCATCTACCCCGCCCCACATCACACCCTCGTTCCACCCACCTTGGAATGAGTCAGTTTGTTCTCATTGGGTAGCCAGGCAGCCGAGGGATCCTCCTGGTGTTTGAAGGGCCCGTCAAAGGCGGCCTGGAAGGCGGACATGTTGTACACGCACACTGCAGAGCCCGGGATGCTGTTCCTGGACACGGGGAGAAATGGCGGGAAAGTTAGATCACGGGTCTTTGAGGTGACAGTGTGGGAGGTTGGTATGTGTGTGCGTGAGGGGGGGGGGTGGAGCAAAGAGGGTCTACATCTTCATTTTCTTCATCCTTCATCTCTTTCTCCATCTCCTCCTCGATCTCATCCTTCCCCCTCATCACCATCATCATCAAGGATAACAGCAACATCAACACGCCATCACCACCACCATCACTGCCAATACTAGCACCACTAACAACAACAACAACAACAACAAAAACAGCAAAAACAACAATAACAACAACAGCAACACCATCACCACCACAAACACCACCACTACTCACGGCGGCGTGGAGAAGACAGCATAGACCAGGTTCTCGTCAGTCGAGTAGAATGTGCTCTGTAGCACCAACACTACCACCATTTTCACATCCCCCCCTCCCTACCCTTTCCACCATTATCAAAACATCACCAACACTACCACTCCCCCCCTCTCTCTCTCTCTCTCTCTCTTTTCTCTACCTCTTCTTTCTTCGTTTTTCCCTCCCCCCCCCCCCCTCTCTTCCCACCACAACAACACCACTACACACGTCGGTATGGAGAAGACAGCGTCTCGTCAGGCGAGTAGAAGGTGCTCTGTAGCTCGTCAATACCACAAACATCTCCATCACCAACCTCCTCTCCCGTACCCCACCGCCATCACCATCATAAACAACAACAACAAAAACAACAACAACAACAACAAAAACAACAACAACCACAAAACTCACGGCGGTGTGGAGAAGACAGCGTAGACCAGGTTCTCATCAGGCGAGTAGAATGTGCTCTGTAGCTCGTCAAAGTAGAAGGGGTAGTTTCCGGGCAGAGAGCAGTTGAGCCTAGCCTTGTGGTAGGATGTCCAGATGTGTTTCAGGGAGAACTCGCCGCCCTTGTCGTTCTGGGGGTGGTAACAGATTTTTAATTAAAATTTTTATGTAGTTGTTACTGCTGTTGTTTGATATTTTACGTCTCTATCGTCACTATTTGGATAATCTACGAGATAAAGGGCTGCTTCGACCCTGCTTGTTAGGTCCAATCAGGATTGACATAGAGGGACACAACGTCTCAGAAGAACGACGGATTGATATAAAAAAGTAATCAACCTCTCTGCACTGGAATTGAACTTAATATTATTATGTGCGACGGTGAAGGGTCTATTCGCTACATCATAGATGTCGTTGTGCTATATGGGGGTTGTTTTTATATGGCTTCGGGTATTTCATGAAGAAAAATTAAAGGCGCAGCGAAACAATAATGGCCATTTTTTGTTAGGACAAAAAAAGTAAAACAGACAGACAGATGGAAGGAAGAGGAAAAGCAACAGAGGGAAAATAAGGAAGTAGGACCAATCAGTGGAGTCCTACAAACATCCGCATCGGTTTGAATAATTATCAGGAATACATGAAAAAGGTGAATGTTTACTTCACTCCTGACATTTCTTTAAAGTACATGTACCATCAAGCACAATTATTTAAACACCGTCTAGTGAACGCTTTTTGTGCTTCCTGAAGAAGCCCAGACAGAAAACGAAACATTCGCCTTTGCGTAAATTCAAATTAAACGATAATATTCAGTCTTACATTTTCTTAAACTTCTTTTAAACCATGTTGATGATGATGACGAAGATGATGATGATGATGATGATGATGATGGTGATGATGATGATGACGACGACAACAACAATAATAAT